AATCTAATAGTTCCACATTGTAACAGTAGCACTGTGGTGATACAACTTCAGTTTTGATAATCAGGAAACCTTTGAAATCCTGGAAGATGAAGACTATTTTATTTTTCCATGTTTTTTTTAGGAGGGGAGTGCCGGGAAATTCAATAGAAGTTTGTCATTATAGTGTTGCTGTTGAGTATTCAAAGGCTCAAGTCGGTACATGTTAATACGTTTATAAATACAGTTTAAATCTACCACTTTCTGTACTTACATTGTAGTATGTATGTGCCCACGGATGGCTTTTGGGCAGAGCTTGGTATGTTTGGTTGGGCACCCCAAGTCGACCACTTTTACTGTCACTAGGACCCAATATTCAGCTAAGGACCCATTATTCAGAGTCCCCACCTCAGCTGCAGCTGAGCTAGGCTATAGCTGCACCCTCCAATTGTAAGAAATGCAAATCTAAATAAAGTTCAACAGATAAAATGCTACTTAGCTTTCTGAGCAATTTCCTGCTTGCTGTACATATCTCTGGCTCCTTGGGTTTCCTGTGGCTTCACAGTTTCTCAGACGCCTCTTATCTCTTAGGGTTCAGACAGAAGTACCTCACCCAGCTGTAAATGATATTTTTGAAGGAAGTGTTCGGAGTTGCAATGCCACCCCCCAGGCCAAACAGAAGTTCTCTGTTAGTTCCAGGGGAGAGGGGAATCTAGCTACTGGTTGCAGCCGGTTTCCCCTAACAACAGCCCCTACTCCTTCAGCCCTCCCTGTTTTCAGAATGGGAAAACACTATTTTTTAGGTGGGGGGGCTCCAGTACACCCGCCTCACCCTCCAGCGGGGACTAAAAAAACGCCAGACTGAACTCCCTCTGCTCCCGTTTCCCCTTCCCATTGTGAAACAGTGACAGGCTGGGTGGCAGTTCAGACACAAGTTATGGAAGACTATTTCGAAATGTCTTCATATGAACCCTTGTGCAGTGAGGGTTCAGATTTTCACCTGATCGGCCATTTTTAAGTGGTCTACAGCCACACACTTCTGTTTGGTCACAGCTATAGACTGCTTTCTGTGGCCAGACAGGGCAAAAAGTGTCACTTCTGTCTGCACCCTCAGAGCTGTCTTTAAGGAAGCACGCACAGCTTTCATGCAAATTACATAAATGTCAAATGAACAGAAGAAAAATCCTCCTTGTGGCTCCTCTTCCAGGCTGCTTGACCTCAGCTGGCCCCAGCAGCAACATTTAGTGCTGTGCTGGCAGTGCAGCCACCTAAGAAGCACCAGCTGCAATCTCTTGTTTCCCTTCTTGGCCCAGGTGGGCCACCTGCTCTTCACACCTGGGTGAGCTTCCTTGCTGGGAGGCTCGTGGCCTTACTAAGTATTATCGCCAGGGATCCTAGTTTTCTCTGATGTAATTTTTTTTAAATTCTCTGATAAAACCCCCAAAATCCATGATTAAAATGAAATGCCACTCTGTGTGCGTGTGTGTGTGTGTGTGTGTGTGTTAGTGGCATTTCATTTTAATCATGGATTTCAGGGGTTTTATCAGAGAATTTGCATTTTGTGTGTGTATGTATGAACACAATGTTTTATTGATATAATTTTAAAGCAGTTTGGAAGCCTACCAGTGCCTCAATCACTATAATAAATTATAAATACCATTAATTTTGGTATTTGATTTGGGTTTTTTATCATGCAAAATCAGAGCTCCCCCAGCCCCCTTAGCTCACAGAACGCAGGTCCAGGACCCTCATCCCCACTCACATTCCCCTGCCCTCCCCCAGCTGCCAGGGCTACGGGGCCAGGGACCCAGATCCACAGCCCCCCTGCCTGCTGCAGCAGCACCTAAGCTTTGGCTACTGCAGCATAACGGAGCCTGAAGTGTCAGGGGGGGGTGACTCCTGCCACTCTGTGCACCCCGGGGGTGGGACTTAGTATGTGATTCTTAACATAGCTGTAAAGTCAGTCTTACCTATTCTATTCCCTGACTTATCTGTTTAGTCATGTGTTTTAAATACTATCCATGTGTAGTTCTACAGAATTATTGTGCTTTGAGATTATCTTGTACAAGTGCACGTTCAGTTTTAGTAATTACACATTCTTTAGTGTGCTGAAGTTCTTATTTCTCAGGGTGGGTTTTTGTAAATCTAATTTATATCGTGAAAATCAAACTTTTTGTTATAACTCATACAGTTTCACAAAGGATTGTATATTCTCATGAATGGTGTTAGAACCAAGCAGTTCTAAAGAAAATTATAATGGAAATTTTTCTATTGCACCATTCATGATCATTTTTCAAATCCTATTGGTGGTTTTGTTTGTTTTGTTTTGTTTGTTTTGAGTTTTTGTTTTTAAACTATCCATCATTGAAGTGGAAATTGACTTCATAATTTGAAAGGGGCAGTCTTGCTGGCAGTAGCCACTCTGTGACCTGCAAAGTATTCCTCTGACTCCAACCTGCCATTCCTTTGACTTTATTCATTGCCATATTTTTCAGGTAAATTTTACCTTTTTCTTGCTCTAGAGTGATTTTTTTTTTTTTAAAGCACATTTTTGTAAACTGTTTTCAATCAAGTGGTATTTGAGAGAAGGGTATTTTGGGAGTTGTTTGTTATAATTCTTTTACAAAAATGAGACATTTGTGGGGGCTAACAAAGTAATCCTGAAGTTCATTCATGCCTAAGTGTTTGTAATGGGAAAAATATGTGAAGGAGCTGGTGTTGCAATTAATGATGGACCCCTGCATTTGTATGTAGTGACGGGTTTGGTTACTGTTTCATAAAATATGCTTTGCCATCAATCCTTAATTTGTAAGATGTCAAAGATAACTTTTTTTTTTTCTTGGTCTGGAGATTAGATTTAACAAAGCTGTGTGTTTAGAAGCTGAATACCAATGGGCTATCTGTGTTCTTATGTGCATTCTGTTAGTGTAATGATCCCATGCTTATATAGTTTGACCTTCAAGGTGAATAAAGGTAAGAAGACTGTCTGCCTTATTTTGTCTTTAGTATGTGGCTATAGTAACTATACACAAACGAGTTCAGTCTACATAAGCGAGTCCAGTTACAAATTGTGACCATCTGAAAGGAGACCACTACATTATTGTGGGTGTTTCTCTTCCTTTAACTCTTCTACTACATAGTTGTGCTGTGGAGTTCCATTTTTCTTTAAAAGCTTCAGAGGCAATATAGTTCAAGTAAATAATTCATATTGTGCTTACAGTAAATCAAATGCTTGAGATTTGTCTTATAAACTTGGGGTTGAATGTTCCCATTCAAAGAATTTGCCATGCCAAGTTTGAAAATTTAAATTTAAACTACCAAACACAATACTTCATCCAAGATTAAGTATTTTTCATCAAACTATCTCATTGAAGATGAGGGGTTTTTCCCCCCTCTGTCACCTAGGGGGAAAAGAAGCATTGTTTTGGATTTGCATACCAGCATTCTGGCTCTGATCTGGCCCCAATCTTACCCCGGGGCCAGAGCTGGAGTTCCCAGGGTTGCTGCTGCTGCTGCTTGGAGACGGCAACAGTTTGGTGAGTGCAGGTCAGGGCCCAGGGGTATAGTCCAGGATAGGTGGCAGCCTGCGTGGGAGATGAGGCATGGGACAGCAGTGTGCTTCTGCCTCATCCCCTGACCTGTGCTGTTGAAAAGGCAGCAACATGGTTCAGAGGATGCTGTAGCAGTGTCAATGCAGGATGGGGGAGCAGTGCACCTGTTGCCCCACTACCCTTTTCACACTGATACTGCATCCCCTGACCCATGCTGCTGCCCAAAGGGCATCAAGGGTCAAGGAATGGGGCAGTAATGCACTACTTTCCCTTCCCCCATTCCCTGACCAGTGCTGCTGCTGCCAGATCCTCAGCCAGCTGCTGCCATTCAGCAGCATGGGTCAGGGGATGGAACAGCATTGGTGATCAAGCAGAAGTGCCTGGTGGGGGATCAGGCAATGTTGGGGATTGGGTTTGGGGACAGGCAGCAGGGGTGCAGGCAGAGGGGGCAAGTAGCGGACTACGGGTCAGACAACAGGAGTACAGGTGGGGGAATAAGTAAAGGGTAGGGGACTGGTGGAGGTGTAAGTGGTAGAGGAGCAAGGTGTGAGGGTTAAGCTGTTTTGCACTTCCTCCCCCTCTACCTCCTCCATGGACAACTCTCCGATTTAATTTTATCCTATACGTGGGATTTATAATTTTCTATGTGTAGAATCTAATTATTGGAAAGTCATCTTGAATGTGAAGTTATCTTTTATTTGGGTAAATATGGTATTTGAGCCAGAGACTGTCAGTTTGAATAAATCAAGTAGTCAGACTTACTTTTCTAACTTTCCACAAAAACAAACTTTGCATCTAGAATGTTAGAATGAAAAGGTTATGAGGCAGAGGAAATCTGGATTCATGCTTCTCAGTGAAAAGATGAAATTGCATTTAAGGCAATGTTACAGTTCTGTGCCAGTCAAATTTAAGTAATCACTCAGCTGCCTAGCTTCTATTAATGAATTAAGTGTAGATAGTTGAATTAGAACTCTCCTTCTTCGGCAATCACTTGCAGTCAAGTATGTTTCTTCCATGATTGCCTTATCTGTGCATCCGAATGTCTGAAGAGGCCTATCCATAATTGACAGACTATACTGCAGTTCAAATGTGTGTTTTCATGTTTGGTGGGTGGCGTCGGATATTTGATTTGGTCCACAACACACTTTCTGCCGCTCCCTATTTTCCATCTCCTGTTTTTGTCATGAGGCTTCAAAGTACTGAGATCCCAGCAGCAGACTCTTTTTCCATTTGGGGCAATCCTGGGCAATAGCCTCCCATGAGTTATCATCAATGTTGCGTTTTTTTTAAGTTGGCCTTGAGGACAACCCTGAAGTACTTTCTTTGCCGTCCTCTTGAGCGGGTACCTTGGCTGAGCTGGGAGAATAAAACTTGCTTTGGGAGTCTGGAGTCAGACATCTGGATGACATGTCCGGCCCAATGAAGTTGATGTTGGGTGAACATCACCTCAATACTCGTGGTATTTGCTTGCAGGAGGACGCTAACGTTGGTGCGTCTATCTTCCCACTGGATTCGGAGGATCTTCTGCAGGCAGCAGTGATGGTATCTCTCCAACAACTTTAGATGTCTCCTGTATGTTATCCACGACTCAGCTCTGTACAGCAAGGTGGGGATCATGACAGCTTGATAAACCATGAGCTTGGTTTTGGATCTGATGTTGTGATCTTCAAACACCCATGTCTTCAGGTATCGAAAGGCTGCACTTGCACATTTGAGGTGATATTGGATTTCTTCATCGATATCAGCCTTCTGCGAGAGAGAGCTTTTGAGATACGGGAAATACTCAACGTTCTCCAGAGTCTCACCATAGATCTGGATTACCAGAGCAGGGACTGTTCAGTTAGAACTCTAAAACACAACTGATTTGTGTTTTCACATATGCTTAATTAAGTTCCCAAAATGTCTAGTTTGCAGGCTTAAGCCGCATCCAAGTATTTGTAATCAGTTTCAGCTTTAGGTTAGCAAATACTATTCACCTTGCCAGAGCAGGTTTAATTATTTTCAGTGTACACAGGGAGCTGAGAAACAAATAGATAAATGGCACTGTAAAAAAAAAACCTATTACTGAGATGATGTATAAAATGTTTTAGTCCAAAATGTAAATTGTAAATAAAAAATTGGGCCTCTAATATTGATGTAGAAGAGGTTGAATAACAACTCATTTGTATAGTTTTCTTTGTCAGTGAAAGTTGCAGTGAAAATAAAAATTAAGCACCATTGAAAAAAGTAGGAATGGAAAACTAAATTATTGCTTCTGTACTTTTTACAGTAGTGATTCAGAGCATCTCCAAACTGCTGCTGACAGGCCACCATTGCATGCTTAGAGGGAGGAATAGCTTACAGCTTGCCTTTTTCCTTCCCTCCCTCTTCATCCCCATTCCTGGTCTGACTTTTGAAGATCTGCTTCATGGGTGTGAAAAAGATAACAAGACTCACTTGGCTAATGTGAATGTGACAGTGCTTAATCACTGTCTTCATCCAATTCTAATATGCAGATGGCCCTTGTATAAGAAGACATTTTGTTATCTTTCCTGTTCCACAATTCATTATTCCAGCCTATTTTCATTGGCTAAACTGCTGAAAGATTTTTTCTTTGGTATATTTTTCATGCAATTGGAAGTCATGCTAAAGCCACAGATCCTACAAAGAGACTGAATCTTTAAAATAGAGTAAGCCACATTAGTTCGTCAGGAGGCAAGGAGAAGAAAGACTAACTAGTTTATCTGTTTATGATGTGTTATATTTTTTGTGCTGTCTGGTAACTGATATCTCTCCAGGACTTTTCTGTTCTCTGATATACCCAAGTACCTCTACTTCAAGGAGAGAATGGCTGTGAAGTGTGCGCAGCTATTTCTGGCAGTCTGGTTAGCTGACATGCTACTGTTTCAAAGTTCTGTAGCTACTATTCCTTTATTATTATAATAATAGCAGCATGGAGATTCTCACTCCTGCATTTTCATGGGTTATAGGATGCTATGGGAGTTTTGCAAATGAAATTTGTTTGCCGTGTTGGAGACAGTTGAAGTTCAGAATGGTATAGGTGGGGAGGCCACGTAACATACATTAGTTTTTAGCCCTTTCATTCTGATGTGGAACAACTTTTGCTAACATTACACACATACCCAATACACTAAATAATTCTTTGATCTGAGCTTTGAGGGAGACAAATGTGAAGGACTGCTTAACTGTGTGTACCTAGAAAAGGTAAAGTTATAAAGCCTGGTATCTGAAAGGATATGCTTAGAGCTCTGATAGTTACTCTTACTTCATTTCTATTCAAGATAATAGCAACATGGAGATTTTCACTCTTTCATTCCCATGGGTTGTAAGATGGAGGAGCATGGGACCACACAAATATGCACCAGGCTGAGAGATGTGGCAACAGAAGGATTCTGGGTGAACTGCATACACTGTGGTGGTTCATCATGACTTTAAAAAGAGTCAGTGGTATGGGGAACTGCGCTTAATGGGCACTACCATATGTCTTATTCAGATGGGCTAAGCTAATCTGTTCTTGTGGTAGGTTCCCATCAGTATGTTTACCCAATGTGTGCCATGTCTTGCCTAGTGATAGCTGTGTTTAATCAACTTTATAACTGGTAGCCATTGCTCAGCACATGCTGTTTTTGGAAACAGCTTAATAATAGACAGTATAATCAGTGAGATTTCCTTGTATGCAACTATAAGGTGAAGGACTTTTTCCCCCAGGTTGACTGGGAGGGAAAATCTCATCCTGTATTCAACGAAATATGGTAAATGAGCAGCATGCATTCTGTTGTTTTATCTTCTTTTCTACGTTGCTTCTATGTAATGGTCCTGTCTTCAGAAATTTGAGTAGCTAGAGCAAGGGTTGGCAACGTTTTTGGGCAAAGTGCCCAAAAACCCCTCAACCTCAACTTGTAAAATGTTGGTATGCCAGGGGCCTATAGTGGGGAAGCCACAAAGGGCCTGATCCTTGTGGCAGTACAGCCTTTTCCCTGCCATTCACCCTGAGGCATGCATGCACCTGCCACCAGCAGCAAGCCCAGTCGGGGCTCCATGGACCCTGATGCGGCTGATTGCAGCCTCCCTGCTGCCTTCTGTGAGCAGCCCAGGCTCCATGGCTGGCATCAGGGGCCTGTCCAGAGCCCAGGCCAGCTGTGGTATGCCAAGCAAAATGGCTTCACAGGCCATGCCATTTTGAGTTCTGAGATGGAATTAAAAGAAAGAGAATATTAATAAATCTGTATGGCTTTTCCACTTAAAGGGTTTTGGGGGGGTTTTGACATGGAAGACTTCCTGAATTGTTCAAATGTGTTGTTTTCCACCATCTTTTTGGAACTATAAAGTCTGACTCTTCCTTGGCAATAAAATTCCTGTACTTCATTCCACGTTGTCCTGCTTCCTTTTGCTGTTAACTGAATCTAACCAGTTGAAGAGCTTAAGCTTTCTTTGTAGAGATGTTTATAGGGATGGCAGAATGGTCTTTCACAAGACATGATATTAAGGGTAGGGAAGTATCACCATGTGAATTGTAATATATTTGCAGCCTCTTCAAGGGGAAAATAATGGTTATCTCTAATGTTGGTCATGTGAACTAGGCAAGAATAGAGTAGAACAGTGAGAGACATGCTAATTCTTTCTTTAAAGTGCTCCTGGATACCAAGATAGACTGTTTCTGGAGTTGTAGTCATTAAGGACAAAGGCAATCTCCTTTAATACTGTGTATTACTCCTTTATATACACTGTGTCTTCAGACAGGCAACCACTCAAACTTTGACAAGCAGCAGAGTGAAATTACCTGGTTTTGCCTGTTCAGTAGTTGATATTCAGAACTTGTGGACATTGATCACTATCAAGGATTTTGTTTCTCAATACTGCTGCCAAGGAAGGCTTTGAGTAGGAAACCAAGCAATTTTATGCACTATTAAGATTTGGGGGCACTAAAAATAGAAGTTGAAAGATGTATAATAGAGAAGGTCCTGCAGTAGTGGAGACTCAGTGCCGCATTCTAGGAGCTGGCAAAGAGTAGAAGCATCACATACTTACTGAAAAGTAGGGCTGTGCGAAACCGCACCGTTCCGCTTTGAATTCTGTTTCTGTTTTGAATTCTGTTTTGACAGGACAGTGTTTCGTTTCATTTTGAAAGCATTGTTCTGTTTCATTTCATCAGAGCTGTTTCGACAGTGTTTCAATTTTTCGCCCATAGGCTATAATGGGGAATCATTTAAACGCCTAAAACTTTGTCATTTCCTGCCAACTTGCCAGGATGGTAGCCCCTTCTGAGGGCATGAAGCCTGCCAAGTTTCAAGGAGATAGGTACAGAGGTTTCTGGGAAACTGCACCTCAAGTTGTTAACAAGCAAAACTCCTGTCACTTGCTGGGCAGCAGCAGCCTCCTGTCATCTGGCAGGCAGATTGGGGGCCCGCCCACACCCCTGGGAGGGCTGCAGGGGCTGTGCCGGACTCCTTCCAGGGGTGCGGGCCCCCAAACTCCCTGCTGGATGACAGGAG